AAGAATATTGCCAATAAAGAACAATATAGAGATTTTGAAAGTTCTACATTAACAATTGATAACATTTTAAAAATTAATATTATAGAATACTTTATTGTCAAATTATTAATATTCTCTGTCCAGATTTGGGGGAATTAAATCTATTTTAATAGAGCAAATGACAGATTCTCAGGTTTAAGTGTCACTATGGAATCATCAAAGCATTGTATTTTGAGAATTAAAAGGCTTTTTAGAGATTTTAGCCAGGAAAGGTTGTCCAAGGTCATGAATGTAATTGTGGAAAATAAATTTTTTAAGATTGGAATTCTGCTCTTCCACTTAATCAGTAACTAAGCCATTCTCTGCCTGCACATGAGCTTGTTTTTAAATGACCTTATTAGAACCAACTAAATTAAGCTCTGTTGTTCCTTGTTTTCCCATATGCCTGATAGTCATACCCTAGTCTGTAGTTTGGGCTGTCAAGGCTCAGTATGAACCACATGTCTATACCCAATGCTTCAAAAAAATACATTTTGGCTGCCAGTTTTTCTTTTATGTGGTCGTAGATGTAGTAGAATTTTTGTTAGTGATATTTTGCATCACTAAATTAAAAGATTGTACATTATTAGGCTTCACTTTGATGACATTGTTTACATAGCCCCTAAATAATTTTAACTAATATTGCCACATCTTGCCACATGCCTAATAATTATTAGTACATTTATAGAATCAGTTTAATAAACAAAGAAATACTGTCTCTCCCATTAGGGTGAGACAATAAAAATGGAGAGGCTGAGAGAGGTAGACAGTATTTTAGATTTTACTGATTTTAATATGTTATATTTGTTTATTTTTGACTAATAGGAGCTAGATTTTTGACCTTCCATTTTTAAGCTAGGGAAAATCCCACTAGAATTTCCTTTTCAATTACAATGAGCAATGCATGGCAACATATATATTTTTGAAAACTTTTAGATAAGTGAGGTCGTTGTTTCCAAATTTAAGTTTAATTCTCAGGTCTAGTATTTGAAAACTTTTAATGTTTTCCTTTTTTGTAGTTCTCAGGAAATACTCAGTATGGTTTAGGAGAGGCATATGTATGAATGTAAAAATAAATAATCAGGAAGAAATCATACATCTCTGTGATGTAAATCCTAATATCCATTAATATTCTTAATAATTTATTTTTAAGTTTTTATTTTCATTCCATAGTGCTTTCAACTGTCAAATAACTTTTCATCTCAAATCTATCTACTTAAACAGTCTGTTAAAAAAGTAATTCTGAAAAGTATGCTATAGAACACATATACCTACATGATAAATAGTACATGTTAATATTTTCACATTTATTGTATTGAGTTTTTTCTGTTTTGAAGAAATAGTACCATCTGGAGACCCATGTCTTTCTCTACTTCCTTTTCTGTTCTTCTAAAATTACTGATGTGAATTTGATGATTATCAAATTATGCATATTTTGCCTCTGGTCACAATTTTTTCATCCCATCATTGTATAATCTTGTTTTATGTGTGTTTGTTTTAAAGACAATTTATGTATTATATATCATTTATTTATTAGCGTTGAACTAACAGCCAAAGTACTAGAACTTATGCCTAGACAGAGGTTTTTATAAGATAACTTTGCATATTCTCTACATTACACATGATATCCTTATTGTGCTTAGGAACAACTAGACAGAACTTCATCACTGTGCTTGGGAATCATTTTAAACAGCAAAATTAGCATGAAAGAAAGAAAACTATGGCACTAAAGAGATGGTGAAAAGGACACTTGTTTATAGTATGAGAGCTAAAACGAGAAGGCAGAGTGTCACATATTCAGCCGTAACTGGGATGTGCACATTGGTAGACGCAGATTTCATTCCTGTTCCCGTGTACATGTCCATCATGACTTTGTCTTGATTTGGGGGTTGTAAATAAGTTTTGACAAGTAGGCGCACTTGCAGATAATGGTACTTGTGAATAGCAAGGATGGACTGCATAACTATTACTTATTTCATCCCCTACTGATGGACTAATGGGTTGTTTTTACTCTTATCTACAGCATTGTTTTTGCTCTTATAGTTAGTATGCTTCTATGCACACGTGTGGGGAGTGCCTTCAAGATTTTTTCTAAGAAGTAGAGTTACTAACTAGTATATGCATTAAAAATTTTATTGGGTGTTGCCAAATTGTTCTTCAAAGTGATTGTTTTAATGTATTATTAACAGTCTACAAGAGTTCTCATTTGCCTAGGTTTTTACCAGCTTACAGTATGTATGTGGCTTTACATGTTTACTCTTCTGATGGTTATGGAATAGTATATATAATCATAACTTTGCTTGAATTTCTTCTTAGGTCTTTGAGAGACCTAAGTTAAAGACCAGAATTTATAATTTTTAAAAGTTCCCGGCTCGGCGCCTATAGCTCAACCGGCTAAGGCTCCAGCCACGTACACCTAAGGTGGCGGGTTCGAATCCCCAGCCCGGACCCGCTAAACAACAATGACGGCTGCAACCAAAAAACAGCCGGGCGTTGTGGCGGGCGCCTGTGGTCCCAGCTACTTGGGAGGCGGAGGCAGGAGACTCGCTTGAGCCCAGGAGTTGGAGGTTGCTGTGAGCTGTAATGCCACGGCACTCTATCCAGGGGGACAGCTTGAGGCTCTGTCTTAAAAAAAAAAAAAAAAAAGTTCCCTCATTTTTAAACTGAAAACTTATTTTCTTAACTTGTTATTGTATTTGGTGATTTGATCTCTAACATATATCCACCTTGCCTTATTTTTCAGTTTGCCAATCCAGATTTTACGCAGCCTATCTCAGAAGTAGTAGATGAAGTAATTCAGAATTGTCCTATTGATGTCAGGCGTCCTCTTTACAAGGTCAGCATTTATAGCAATATTGTTACTCAAGGTCATACTTTCATAAAACCTTTTTTTGTTTTTTGTTCATTGTTGAATATTAAATACATCTCTTAAAAAAGATAATAGAATTTTAGTAGTGTTATATATATTTTATATATCTACATTTTTCTTTCTTTTTAAAATAAATGTCATGTTTGCTTATTTTTTCCCCCCTGATACAGAATATTGTCCTCTCTGGAGGTTCGACCATGTTCAGGGACTTCGGACGTCGCTTGCAAAGAGATTTGAAAAGAACTGTAGATGCCAGGCTGAAATTAAGTGAGGAATTGAGTGGTGGTAGATTGAAGGTTGGTTTTCTCACTTATTGGTGGGAAGGTTAAGGGTGCCTTGGGTGTTATAATGCAGTTGGGAAGTGTTTGCCAACACTTGCATTTGCTTTCACTTAGGAAGATAAAAGGATTTATTGTTATGGGAAGTGGTTAACGCTGTAGGTTCATGTCTATAATATTCTAGTCACTTAACTCATTTAGGATATCATTTGTATTTCTACAAAATGATTATTAGTAATATAGTTGTGAGAAAGATTTTGTTCTTTTCTTTTTCTGGTAAATAATGTATATAGTAGATTTCTTTGCCTATTCCAGCAATAAAATTTATTATGGATCCACAAAATTTTAAGTACCACTATAGAAGGACAGCAAAGCAGAGTTGAAGGAGAAGTTGATGTTGAGCGGTCAAGCCTACTTTCAGAAACTGACTCCAGGGCTCACATCGCTTCTTAGCATTCAGATTGCTGGCTTAACAAAGTAGCCTTTCTACTACATGTCGTAGGCTGTTGGGGTTGATGTTAAAAAATAAAAATTAATTTTAAATTCTCTGATGTCACTTTCTGCATCCATGAGACAAATTTTCAGTACATTTTTTTTTAATGCTTAATATTGAAGCAGGACATTGAATCATCAGATAAGTTGCCAAATAAAACACATTTCTCTCTCCTTGGAAAATTACCAAGAATCAGATCTCTGTCTGAGACTACCACAATAATTCAAAAATTATGTAAAAGTAAAATATGACATTTTCAAGTTTGCTGATAGTTGAGAAATTGTGTGACAGCTGACTGTTGTCAGTACCTATTCTTTGATTATCTGAAATAAATCTTGTCGTGACCTGTTGGGCTCCTATGGCCCTGGTCTCGGTTAGCTCAGGAAGGAACCAGGCAAGAGGCAGATTAGAAGTACAAGCTTGTGGAAGGCGGGCTAGCCCTTACTTTCTGGGTAGCCCCGAGCAACCTCCGCACCAGCCTTCTGTTGAAACGGAATGATACAGGTGAGGGGGGTAATTAACAATGACTACATGCTGAGGGCACGGGCTCCTTCTCCATAAGGAGCACCTGTGGATAAGTTACCCGAGAGTCCACCCCTCAGCTGTAAATCATCTTGCTTAGAGGTCATTTGTCTCTTGGCGTCCTCTACAAAATCTATCCCTATAAGTGCAGTAAAAAAAGTACAGTAGAACCTCTGTAAATTGACCACCTAAGGGACTGTAATAAATAGGTCAACATACAGAAGTGGTCAACATAAGGAATTAGGCCTGCTGTACTGATAGGCACATGTCGTGCATTTCCAGTCAACTTTGGAGGTTCCACTGTATGTCCTGGGTGGGAGGCAAAATGTTATGGAGCTGTCTACATAATGACATGACTTCATCCTTCTGGCACTTTATTCATATAGCAGATTTAAAAATTTGTTTTTCTTTCTTTACTTGTTAAATTTCAGAATATACATGTTCAGAGTTTCAAAATATCGGCTTTGTTTTTGCACCCCTTTCTCAACCAGCTGACCCACCTATCCATCCATCCATCCATCCATCCATCCATCCATCCATCCATCCATTTACTCACATACCTATCCACCTACGTACCTAAAAAAGAAAGTCAGTGGGTTTTACAAGTGTACTTTTAAATTCTCTCTACTGGGATAATACTATTGATGTTGATTATGTGAACATAGTAGATGTTGTGAGTTTTCCTGATTTTTTGTTAGAATGCTTAAAAGATTGAAGTGAATTAATTTTCTTAACAGATTGGTTAAGAACATTAGCATGGTTCTAAAAATCAGAAATATATAAAACATGTGCTTGTTGTTATTTTCCTTCCATTCATTCTATCGTGTTCTCATGCCTGTCTTTCCCAGTGCTCCCAGTGGTTTCTGGTTTATAAGAAGTCACCTGAATTTAGTATGAATATTATTTTTATATATATGCTTTTAAGATTAAATGGCAGAGAAATTGCTATTTGAATTCACTATTGAAATTGTCTTACTGTATCTTTTTTTTTTTTTTTTTTTAAAGCCAAAACCTATTGATGTACAAGTCATTACACATCACATGCAGCGATACGCAGTCTGGTTTGGAGGATCAATGCTGGCTTCCACGGTGAGTTTGACGAAGCGTACTTTCAAATTATGGTTCTTTTTTGTTGTTGTTGTTTTGTTATGTAAGCAAGGAGGAGGTTTATTTAAGAAGATGTATTGCTATGCAATATGCTAAGATGATCCTTGGAAAGCTAAGAATTAATGAACTGTAAATTTTTATTACAAAATAAAGATAATTAACCTTAGCCTACGTAGTTACTAACGTTATGTATAAAATGAAATGAAAACTCATTATTGACAGATTAAGAAATCATAAATTCTACACACACAAATATGTATAATATTTCACTGTGTTACATGCTTTAGAACAGAATTAATCGTTTGTTCCACATATGTATTTCAACAATATAATGTAGGACCTTTCTACTTCGTGTACTCCATAAGCCTTGGGCATTGAGAATATTCTCTAATTTGCATTGTTATAAAAGATGCCCTGATTCGATTAATTCATATTGTATTCTTATAGTAAAACATCACATGTACCTTATGAATATATACAACTATTATATACCCATAATAATTAAAAACTAAAAATAGCTTCATTGAAAGTTCTTGTATACAAAACAAATTTAACCTATATCCAATTATTTCATTGGAAAATTTCTATACAGGTAATTGAATGGGCAAAGTATTTCT